TATTTATTGAGTATTTGCACTTGCCTCGCCGCCTCCATTTAATGCACAATAGAATCTTTTAGTATAGCGACAGTTATGCTTGAAATCTTAAATCTCAGCTAAAAAGCTGAGATTTACGTTTTTTTTTTCTAATTTTTTTTTGATAAGACATTGTAAATTATTGTTTCATAATATCAAAAAAACAATTTTTTTTTTTAAAAAAGCACCAAAACGCGTTAAAAGTACCAAAATACATCCTTAATTTTGCGAAAAACAAAATATTCGTATTTTTTTAAAACGATACAACGACGAAAGATTTATTTTGAATTATTGCTAACTCGTTTTATTTAAAAAAAAGTTTATATTTTTCTGATATTATTTTTAGCCTCTTTTAATAACTGAAATTGAACTTTTTGAATAGTATTTAATTCAGTAAAATGACTTTTGTGGGGTGGATCAACCATATTGATTGTCTGAAGGTAAGCTATAGGTTATATTTTATGTTAGAAATTTGTTGATCAAAGACTCAAAGACCTAATAGATAAAAGATTGATTGGGCGATAGTTGCAGGGGTTAGAATGTTCTCCAGAGTTTTTAAAAGTTGGAACCACAGTTGTTATTTTCCAACAAACAGCAAAACAAGATTCAGTCAAGCAGTTATTAAATGGTTTAGAGAGAACTAAAGAGAGTTATGTAAAGCACTTTTGTAAGACTATGGCAGAAATGTTTTCTGGACCATAAGCCGTAGAAGAGTTTAATTGAAATATGACTCTAACAATGGAAGCTGGACTAATTTAAATGTCTAACAATTAGTTAACTTATTAACTGGAATGGCAGTAAGAGTATGACTATAAAATGAGTTGAATTAGAAGAAAAGTCTTTATCTTTGGATGAGGAAACGTCCGTCCTATGAATAAGAGATGGAATGTTAGACCTTTTTTAATGATACTGTAAAATTTTTTTACAGTATCATTAAAAAAAGCATTAACAAAGTTATTTTTACAGTGTTATTAACAAAGCCAAAAGTCTCCAGAGCCTAATTTCTAAAATAAGATACGAGATTTAGTAAACTGGGAATAATGGAGTTTTGCTTCAAACCGTTTACATTGATTTCTTGCTATAATAAATAGCGTTTTTCTTAAGATAGTTGTTCTTTTGAAAAAGATCAAAAAAATAATTACAATTAGATATAGCAGTTGCACTAGAAGGTGAAAACTATGGAATAGAATGAGGTTTGAAACCGAGGAGAAGGAATAAAAGCTTTCATTCCTGCCTGGATCCATGAGGTTATGTAGGAAGCCCATTTATCAACAGATAAAGATATCAACAGATAAACGACAAAAGCCCAAAGACCATCACGAAAAAAATTACGAAAAGAATCCCAGTCAGCTTTAGGGTAGTAGTAAGTAGTGTGGTGATAGGGTAAGTCCAAAGAATAAGCACGAGATGAAAGATTTATAGAGATTGTTGCATGGTTGGAACAATCTAAAGGAGAACAAGGAGAAACTGAACACAAGCTAGGATCAAAGACAAAGAAAAATTAAGGAATAAAGGTAAGTAATTAGAGTTGTCTGGAAAACGAGTCACAAAATTAACTATTTGAAAAAAAAAAATACAGAAGTTATGAATTTAGTGCCAGCAGGGTCAGTGGTGTTAGAACCAAGCCATTCAGTGTGATGAGCATTAAAGTCACCAATAACAACAATATTGGCAGAGGGCTAAAAAGAAAAGACCTGGTCAATTTGATCAGAAATTTGAAAAGATGGAGAACTATAAAGATCAAAGATAAAGGGGGTTGAGTGAACAGGTGTTAGGTGGAAGCACATAAAAGAATAATTATATGATAAACCTGGTTTCTCAACAAATAGGTGAATTGATGCGTAAGTTTACCCCCGAGCCAAGCATGTAATTGGAGTCTATGCGAATTAAAAGATAGTACCCATAAATACTACGATCTAAAGAAGGATCAAATTTAAATTAGTCTTTACCGAATTTAAATTAGTCTTACAAAGAACAAGCAAGCCTGGTGATTTTTGAAAGAGATAAGATTTAAATGATGAAAATTTATTTCGATGACTACAAATATTTTTCAAAGATATATTAAAACAGTTAGGTGGTAGGAATTATTTTTATGTTTAATATTTTTGGTTTCTTTAGGCATATTTTTAAAAAAACTTGATTCATTTATAGATAGAGCACAACATCCAAAGCAATTAGCTATACAGTTGTCTAAGTCCTTCTAATTAAACCAAAATCGTAATTTAGGATTCTTTATACTATGCACACCAAAAACTGTTAATAATTTGATGCTTTACAGCATTAGGAATTAGCCAATGGAATTAGCCAATTGGAATTAGCCAATGAGAGCTATCACAGAGTTTCAGAGCTCCAGAACCATTTAAGATAAAATATATATAAAGATAAAATTTGCAACTAAAAGTTTGATTGAACAAATCCATTCTTTCTAGAGAAAATGATAAGATTTGATAATTCTTTATAAGTATTCAACAAGTGTATAAGTCATTTTTTTTACTAGTATTAACTAAATGTAAGCTCATTGTAAAATTTAAGTTTCCTGCAATAATCTTTAAGTGTTTGGAAATTATGACTTAAGTGTTATGAAATTATTTGGTTATTGGAGATTACATCGTAAAAAGAGAATGTTCGATGAAATTTTTAGGTGTAATTCTAGATGAAAACATAAATTGGAAAGACCACATAAACATGATTGAAAATAAAATTTCTAAAAATATTGGATTACTCTATAAAGCAAAACCATTCTTAGATCAATCCTGCTTGAAATACATATATTACTCATTTATACATTCTTATCTTAATTATGCAAACATTGCTTGGTGTAGCACCAATAAAACAAAGATAAAAAAGCTATTTAGCAAACAAAAACATGCAATTAGATTATTATCAAATGTACACCGCCTCTCACATTCAAGACCATTGTTTAACAATCTAAAAATACTAAATGTGTACCAAATAAATATATATCATCTTCTGATTTTTATGTATAAAATTAATAACAATTCAATACCAAATATCTTCAAACCATTATTTAATAAAATTCAACACAAATACGTAACTAATACCAAATATCTTCAAACCATTATTTAATAAAATTCAACACAAATACGTAACTAAATATTCTAACAACAACTTTGTTCAACCCAAAACTATATACGACTCCACCAAGCTTTCAATAACTGTTAGAGGACCTAATGCATGGAATAAGATAATCAGTAATGATATTAAAACACTTAAAACTCTTGATCAGTTTAAACAAAAACTAAAACTATTACTTTTAAATAATGAACAAACAGATAATTATTTTTAAATCTATCTATAAAAATATTATATTTTAAAACTATCTACTAATGCATACTTTATTTGTCTGGAAGGTCTAAATTCTTTAATTTTATATAGGTATTACAGTCTGTTATATTATAAAAAAAGTACTTATAAAGATTTTTAGCATTTTTAGATTTCATTAGTTTAAATAAATTTATTAGTTTCTTAAATAAGAGAGAGAGAGGAAAAATAAAAAAGTAATCTTTTTTGAGTTTTAATTTTTTATATTAATATTTTGTAATTTGTTTTTGAGGAATTAATATATTACACTTTATAAGAACAGATTGTAAATTAAATTTTACGTTTACTTTTTTCATGTTTTTTAGTTTTTTGATATTTTTGTTTTTCTGAATGAACTTTTAAATTTTTCTTTCAAAAAATAAAATCGAAAAAATATCTTTCAAAACTTTGAACTATTAAACTATTTGGCATTTTATATAAACTATAATAAACTTCTTTGTTTTTTTTTTTTTCCTTTTTCTTAATTTTTTAATTTTCATTTTAGTTACCATGTATTTATATAAATGTCTAGACAAACAAGGGACTTGGTGATAAGACAACCCCGTCTTCTTCTCGTCCTTGCCATTTTTAAATATTTTAAATTACGGAACTTGTAAATATTTGTACGGCTAAATTATAAAAAAAAAAAAAAAAAAAAAAAAAAAAATACCTTAATGAAAAAAAAAAAAAAAATGACCATATAAAGTTTGAATCCCCCTCAATTTAAAGGGGGTATTATACTTTGGTGGGTCATAGAAACCGAACACTAAGAGATTATGTCATGAAATTTGTGAATGAATTTAAGTTTAGTTAATAATAGTAAAAAAACATTTTGTAAACTTCTTACTCTCATATTAAGGGTAGGGAGGAAGGGAGAGATTTTCGGGCTTTTTGTTACCAGGCTCCAATCATTGCAATTTTTTGCAGAGCATCCTTATTTAACATAAACATATAAATATTTGTAGTGATCTCTATGTCTGGAAATTGTCTCAACACTAAAAAACTGTATACGCCCCTGGCAATGTCTCCACTTAAAAATATTTTCATATTTAAAAGAAAATGCAATATCTCTTAACTACAGCAAACCGCAGGATGCAAGTCATATATATTAATCGAAGTTTTAAAAGGCATTATAACCAGGTTTTAAGTTTTTTATTCTATTAAAACATCTCCAGCAAAACTGCCAAAAATGGCATATATTTCCCAAAATTTTAAGAAAAATAATAAATTAGCACGATGGCGCGATCACTTCCCACTACTTAAATAAAAAAAACAGTAACAATTTTCTCTAGTAGCCACTCATTAGCCTTAATGACCCTAGAAATATTTAAACATTTGTTTTTTGGCCCAGGCTTATGCGCACCTCAACCAGCTTTTTTAGTATTCATCATTAACCACTTTAAAATATATTTTAATTAACCAATATCCCATGAAGATAAATTACTTAATGAAGAACGAATGAGGTAAGATTTGTATATTTCCTACGGCTTGTTTTTAAGGTTTTTGCGATTACATTATCTCAAAACGCCTTCAAAATACCAACAAAATAATAATAATAATAATAATAATAATAATAAAATCACATTTAAAACTTTTTCATTAGGACTTTCTACGCCTATGTTTAGACTCTCCTGACTATGAAAACTAAATAAAACTCTAAATTTATCGTTTTTAAAACATTCTTTTTCATTTATTAAAGAACGGCTATAACAAAGTCACCTAGTCAAATATAAACTCTATCAGTGTCACACGCTCACAACTTGGAAAACATATTACAAAGTTACAAAATATAAAAAAAATCAAACTTTTTTAAAATAATCTTTAAAAAAAAAAATCAAGAACAATAAAGTTTTGATTTGAAAAGTTGATTAGTTACTTTTATGACATAGAAATCAAGTGAATGAAAAACTAGATTTGTATATAAGCAGGATATTGTTAATATAATTTTAATAAATAAAAAAGGTTCTAAATTTAGTTAGGATATTTATGCAAAATTTATTTATAAATTTATTACAACAAAAGAAATAATTTTAAATTTTTAAAAAAGAGTCGTCTATTAACTACAGAGCTGCTGCAGTGTCATCTTCAAGTTTCGCAACTAAAGATTCTTTGCAACCAATTTTCATCTGAGAGAGAGCAGTCGACATGCTCTGACTATACTCAGTTATCTGAAAATAAAACTTGCGTGTAAATGACTATAAAAAATAAAGAAAAAATATACGAAAAACATCGTTCATGTCACAAAAATCACGTGGCAAAACAGTTATGATTTTGAATTTTTTAGGAATGAAGGGAATATTTTTTAAAAGACAGACTAAAAAGTGAAGGAAAGAAACTATAAAGACAGCGTATTTTTTTGGAACAGTGATGAATGATACATTCGATTCAACAACGATGAATGATACATTCGATTCAACAGCGATGAATGATACATTCGATTCAACAACGATGAATGATACATTCGATTCAACAGCGATGAATGATACATTCGATTCAACAGCGATGAATGATACATTCGATTTAACGCGATGAATGATACATTCGATTCAACAGCGATGAATGATACATTCAATTCAACAGCGATGATACATTCGATTTAACAGCGATGAACGATACATTCGATTCAACAGCGATGAATGATACATTCGATTCAACAGCGATGAATGATACATTCGATTTAACGCGATGAATGATACATTCGATTCAACAGCGATGAATGATACATTCAATTCAACAGCGATGATACATTCGATTTAACAGCGATGAACGATACATTCGATTCAACAGCGATGAATGATACATTCGATTCAACAGCGATGAATGATACATTCGATTTAACGCGATGAATGATACATTCGATTCAACAGCGATGAATGATACATTCAATTCAACAGCGATGATACATTCGATTTAACAGCGATGAACGATACATTCGATTCAACAGCGATGAACGATACATTCGATTCAACAGCGATGAACGATACATTCGATTTAACAGCGATGAATGATAATAATACATTTAGTCATCCTCAGTTAAAATTTCAGTAAAAAATGTTTTAACTATAAAAAAACAGCAACAACAATTTGCCCTGTATTTATACTGTTTTTAAAAATATTTTTTTTACATAAATTTTAACTGAGGATGACTATATGAAGTTAAAAGATGTCATGCTAATGTTTTATTTTAAAAAACACCCCCACTATTTACCTGATTTTGACGAGAATAATTTTTTAACAAATGAACTTCATTTATATAATATAAAAAATTTAACAAAATGTTCAAAAAATATAAATATTTAGCTGAAAATAATACATACAAGTTTAATATCTGAAAATGGAACTGTTTCAACCACCAAAACAGAAACTGGATTATTTGTTACAGAAGGTATTGATGGTAGTTTTGGTAACTTTAGATCAATGCGTGAATATTTATCTCTAAAACAAAAAATATTTCAGAATGCCATTTTATTTTTACCTTCTCAAAACTGAGAATGTCATACAGTGGGGCTTTTTACTTTTAATTGATTTTTATTGCACTCATCTTTAAAAGGACTACCATGTCCCGAGACATGTTGTGTTCATATTAAAGAGAATGTTAAAAAAAAACGTCTGAGCAAATTTTTTTTTGATTAAAACTAATTAATAAATTTTTACCAAAAAAAACAAATCTTGTTGTTTTAGTCGAAACTCGTCTTCTCCGTTTTCTGTGGTATTTTGAGTATATAAAATAAACGCGATTTTCCAGGCGCATTATACAGACTTGATAACACAATGTAACAAAAAAAAAAAAATTTTCTGTTTATCAAAATTTTTTGATGTTTCTTAATTAATTTGAGTATGCTGAGTCTGAATATGACATTGGATTTTTTATTGCATCAATCGTTTGGTCATAAAACCAAAAAATCAATTAAACATATAATTAATATAAATCGTTTTGCATAAGATTCTACTTTAGTCAATATAAAACATTTACTAATTCAAAAGTGTTATGTTATGTTACAAAACTTCATGTTACATCATGTTTCTTACATATATTACATAATGTTACATTATATTGTATTGTAACAGTCTCTCACAATCTCAAAAAACACTAAAAGTGAACAGTAGAACGAGGTTTTCTATTATGAAGTTTCTCGTCATCGCGTATCAAACACCAGATGTAGTCACCCATCATAGCTGCATCCCATCTGCCCTGGTATCTTTTCTCCATTGCAAGAATATCCTGATGGAAACGTTCCCCGTGCTCTTCACTCACATCACCCAAATTTGGTCTGAAAAATTCCAAGTGTGAATGCAGGTAATGCAGCTTTATTGACATTCTGTATTTCATATCTGCGTACCGTACAATTAAGTTTTCCACTATCTCTTTGTAGTTATCACTCTTATTGTTGCCTAAAAAGCTATGAACAACATGTCTAAATGCAGTCCATGCTTCTTTTTCAACAGCAGACATTTTGTCCTCAAGCTCCTTACATGCCAACATAACTTTAATCTGTGGACCAACGAATATACCTGCTGAAATTTTTGCATCTGACACCTTTGGAAACATCTGCCGAATATGCTGGAATGCTGCACTATCTGGGTTTAATGCTTTGACAAATTGTTTGATAAGACCAAGTTTAATGTGAAGGGGTGGTAGTAAGATCTTTTCAACAGGTATCAGAGATTGATTAATAACATTGTGCGAACCAGGCTGTAAATGTTCTCTCACTGGCCACTCACGTCTTGTGAAGTGCTGGTTTGCAGCCCTGCTATCCCATAAACAAAGAAAACACGAGTACTTTGTGTATCCTCCTTGCAGACCGAGAAGAAATGCTAGCATCTTAAAGTCTCCACATACATCCCATTTGTAACTGTCGTAGTTGATTTTCTCAAGCAACAACTTCACGTTCTTATAGTCTTCCTTTAGATGAACGGAATGAGCTACTGGAATCGAAGGAAATCGGTTTCCGTTATGGAGCAAAACTGCCTTTAGACTTCTTGTTGAGCTGTCAATGAATAATCTCTACTCTTCAGGATTGTGAACAATGCCAATGTCATTGAAAAGACCACGAACGTCATGACAATAGCACAGTGATTCTGATACTACATAAAAGTATGCGAATGTTTCATGTCTTTTTCGGTATTTCGAGGTTCTGCAGCTTGGATCTAATAAATTCCATTCTTTCAAACGTGATGTCAGAAGTTCTGCATTTGATTTAGTGAGACCTAAATCTCGTACTAAGTCATCAAGTTCTTGTTGGTTAGGGAAATGAGGTGAATCATTCGGTTCCCTGAAATCACAGTCATCATTGAGTTCATCCGGTGAGTCTACTTCAGAATGATATGCAGCTGCTTCTTCGGATTGAGGTGGAGTAGGAACAGGCAATTCATCACTGTGTGGAACTGGTCCAATAGAAGATGGTATACTTGGATAAACTAGAGTCAGCCTATCTTTCGGTTTTTTATACTTTGAAATGTCAACAATGCAGAAAAAGCAGTCATCATGATGGTTCGTCGGTTCTCTCCATATTCTCGGAATCGCAAAGGGCATTGACTTTCGGATTCTACGCAGCCATCCTTCCAGAGTTGATCTGCAGCTACCACAACTGTAGTGTGGTGCCCACGATTTGTCCTGATCTCCCATAGCCATGCCAAAATAAGCATGATATGCAGTAAAGAATTTTGTACCACTGACAATCTTATGTTTAGCTTGTGTTGGACTAATATAGTAACCACAAACATAACAGAATGAGTCAGGACAAAGCTTGCAGGATCTACTAGACATATTCACTACTTCATGTAACAGTTGTAATTAGTTAAACTGAAAATAAACACACGAATATAGTTAAAATCAGCATATATATATAATGTTTTAATTGCATTACACATATACGAAAACTCCGAAATATACTTTATGCTTTTTCTCAGGAAATCTTGATGATAGAGAAAAACCAATGGTACCACTGAAATCAGCATACAAAAATTATGTAAGAAACATTAAAAAATTAACATAAACAAAAATGTTGTTACATGGTGTAATTTATTTAAGCGCGTTTAAATTCATAGGAGTTTTAGAGCATGACGTCATCGGAAACATTCTAGAAATTCTTTAAAAATTTCACTATTAAATTTTACTCAAATAGCTAACTATAGTTACTTATTTTATTCAAAGTTTATTTTATTAATTGTTCGTTAGTTTTTTACAAATCTAACGAACAATTAATTAAACCAAGCACTAAGAAAAGATATAAAACTTAAGAATATACTAATAAAATATATAATTTGTAATTAACTTTCAAAAATTTGACTATTTAAAAAATATATATTATAAAACATTTATTTTTGTAAACAAATGATAATAGTTTAAAAGTTTTACGGCGTTACAGATGTGGCTCCGAGAATGAGCCATAATATTAAAGTAATAGTTCATTTGATAATATATTCTTAAAAAAATTTATGCTAGATAACTTTTCGTAATAATACAACTACTAAAACATTTCAACAGAATACTCTAGAACTTTATTTCGCTTAGTCAGCACGTTTTTTGAACCGATAGAATTAGTTTGTTCGCAAATTTGGCGGGTTTTTAGTGTTCGCGAATATTCTTTTTATTCTTCCGCAAGATGTTTTAAGAACATTCAAGTTAATTATGTTTCCATGTATGTCTGTAAAATAAAAATTAATATATATTAATTTTTTAATTTTCAAGGCCCCGCCATAATATATATTGGATGTTATAATGGATTTATAAATAGTGAAATAAGATCACCTCAATACCAAAAAATACACTTTTGAAAATCAGAGAAAAAATGCGTTAATAATTTTTTTTTTAATATTTACAAAGTAAATTAATAATTTATTGTTTAGGTTAAAAATTATTTTATCTAATATTTTGAAAGAAAAACTTATAACAAAAGAAATCAAAATACATGTGGTCTAGACGATTATTTAAAAAAAGTTGCGCAAATAAAATACTATTTTGTTTTTTATTTTATTTGTTTTTAATTTTATTTTGTTTTTAATTTTGTTTTACAAACACATTTTAGAACTTTAAAATATAATAAAAATGAATATGATTTGGAAATTGTATGTAAAAAATAACAATCGGTGTTTTAAACAAACAAAAAAAATTTCTATGACGTCATGCACTAAAACTCCTATGAATTAAACGCGCTTGAATAAATTATCAAGTCTGTATAATGCGCCTGGAAAATCACGTTTATTTTACATACTCAAAATACCAGAGAAAACGGAGAAGACGAGCTTCGACTAAAACAACAAGATTTGTTTTTTTTTGGTAAACATTTAACTAGTTTTAATCAAAAAAAATTTGCTCAGACGTTTTTTTTTTAACATTCTCTTTAATATGAACACAACATGTCTCGGGACTTGGTAGTCCCTTTAATACTTTAACTTAATGCAATAGTGACAGAACATCACAACAAGTGACAGAACATCACACTTAAAAGATTCAGGTTTCCACCCTACACCTTCAAAAGTATCATGCTCAACCTATTTCTCGTTTTGTTCAACAATGCTTATATTTTAGAGTTTAGGGTTGTGAGAGTTGCAAATATAAATAAAAACATTAAAAAATAATAATAATACTAATTAATAATAAAAATAATAATAACCTCCTCAACTATAATGCACAAAAAAATTTTCTTTCAAAAACTTTAAAACACAAATGTTGATTAACAAGTTAAGTATTACAAAAAATACTTTTACATGTATAAATGAAAATATCTGTAATGTACACATAGGCATGAAATTGCCATTTGGTCATTAGGTTCAAAAAAATGTTTCTCAAAGAATCATTGCAATTTAAGTATTTTCAAAAATGTTCTAAAAAAGCCAAATTACTCCAATGGTTTTTTTTTTACTAAAAAATTTTAATAATATAAAAATTTTAAAAATATAAATAAAATTTCAACTAAACCATTATTAATTAGTGTTATTAACCGCAGGTTTGTAGTTTTTTAGTTAAAAATTTTCATTAAATGTGCAAATTTATTTTAATTTAATTTGAAAAAATATTAACCAAGAGGAATTTTAAAAATAGAAAAACTTTTCTTTTCATTTATTCTATATTAACATTAGATTACTAATATTGACTTGTTTATTCACTTTTAACTTTAAAAGATCTTAAGCAATACATAATCATTATTAACTTTAAGAGATCTTGAGCAACATGTAAATGTAAAATTCTTAAATTTTTTGCAATACTTTGGATGACCTTAATTTTCTTTCTAAGCACTGGTTTCCCACAGCCTAATGAAATAATGAACTGATTTAACAGCATGAATTTTAGGTGTAACTGAAATTCTATAAACTTTGTATGCTCACGGGCTCTGCATGTTCTCTTGAAAGAAAATATAGAATCTCTATCAGGAGTGAAACCTCATAGATTTATTTTCTCAAAGGATAACTTAAACTTAACAAAAAATGCCTGT